CGTTGGCTCAGTAGTGGGCTTCAGTTTCTGGGGTTCGTAGACTTGTACGAAATTTATCTTATCTGCAACTCGTGATCTGGCGACTATTTAGTAATAACGGTCACCCACACAGTGTGCCGGGACATCATGCTGTTTGGTAATGAGAGCTCCTGGAGTTCTGTGAAGGCACCAATTAATCATCATAGTGCCAATTAAAAAGGCCATTAGAAATACTGTCCGTAGCCATCAATCCTGCATAGGTATTTTTTTCTTGAAGAGGTGCAAATACAGCAGTCAGACTTGTACGCGTGTGTGTGCTTCCTTTCCCAGGTCGATGTGACCTGGCAGAGCAGTCGGGCAAAACATGTTGGCAGTGACAATCAATTTATATTCTTACATCATATTATGGTTAGATCCCAAATTTATCGCAATTTATTAAATCAGGTTTTGTTTCTGTAAGTGGGCCATAGTTCTCTGGACAGCACAGTCATACTCAAGCTCTCATCGGAGTTGTACGGCAGTATTATTGGAATATGATTTTAAGGCTAACATTCATAAATTCTTTCACAACAAGGACTTTGATGTTTCCCAGTTCCTGATGGGGAACAGTGTGTTAATTTGGGTCTCCAAGAACTTCAGTAATATAAATGATTGAGGGTGGAGCAGGTAGCATTTCTATATCCATTGTGTGCATTGGCATGGCTTTTTTCCCCCTAAAAAGTTCATTTAAAAACAGCTGAACCATTTATGAGACTAAGAATAAAGAAGAATGCTGTTTTGTCTCTCCTCCAAAAACCCTCCCAAAATTTTGTTTTATTAGGAAGTAGAGCTCCTAAGGGGGGGAAAAAAAAAAAGGCAGAGCTCCAGTGCTTTGAGCAAGGATTTGAGAATTCCGAAGGGGTTATGCTTTTTGATTTTTCTTGTAAACCACCTACTTAAGTTCTTCAAAGTTACAAGGCACTGGAAACCACTATTGTCTCATGCTCAGCAGAGGTGTTAAAAGTTGAGAGCTGTGTGCTGCAAGAGAAATGGAGCCGGATCAAAAGGATCTGTAATAAGTGCAGCACCCTCATCAAGAGACTGGAATTGAACTTGGGATTTTTCTCTGCTGTTAGCAAATACTTTATGAAATACAGTAGCAGAAGATACATGGTATCATCCCGTTGTCATAGAAGATAATCTGCTACCTCTGTCGTTCTCTTCAGCAGCTTAGGTACCAGATTTTTGATAAATGGATCTTCTGGAATGGTTGATATGCTTATCGGCACCAACATGCTGCTCCATGATGGGATTTCAGTTTGGCTTTCCAGGTTACATTAAAAATAATAATCCAGGCAACTAGTTTATATTTAAACAAACAAACAACAACAAAAAAAATTCAAACTCCTTTCCCAACCTCACAAACCCAGAAATGGCACGCAGAAGCTATGCATTAAAAGGACAGAGAGTTAAAACCATTTGCACTCAAGTCTTTTTCTTTGTATATGAACATCATCATTCAGTTTTCTATGACGTGACTGTAGAGCCCAAAAGATTTTGGTTGCAGGAGGCGATACAGCTCTAGGGACTGGGCTTGGGCAGGAGCTATCTGCTAGTTTTGTTGCTGGAATTGCAGCGTGGGTGAGGTGGGAGTCCTCTGCAGGAGAAGAGATGAGCCCGTTCCTTGTCTCGTTGCACAGCACCATTGCCATTGCCCCCAGAGGTCACCCCACGCGGACAGCCCTGCCCTCGCTGCAGTTCCTGGTTTTAACATGGACAGAGGCCTGGGTAACTCACAGTTCTTACAGCTGCCCCGGAATCTGGGGAGCGATGTTCTGAGCCCCATCCAAGTGCTGAACACCCGCAGCGGGAGGACCTGCTGGCTTTTCGCATGTGTGCAAGGATCCTGGAGGCTGTTGGCCTTTGTCTCGCTGTGTCCCCATGTCCCAGCTGTAAAATGGAGGAGATAGAATGGCTTTGTCAGAGGGGAGTGGGAGTGTTTGCAAACAGCAAATACCTTTTTTTTTCCTCCTCCTTTTTCTTTTCCTTCTTTTTTTTTTAAGGGGTCACGTGGCAGTGTGCTAAGCACTGTGAAAACTGGGCTGACACAAAGAACTTTGCATTCAGAGCAAAATCCAGAGGGTGTTACGAGACAACCAGTAATGACAATAAAGCCAATTATTAACTGGCTTCCTTTCAGTCAGCAGGAGCCTGTATTTGTCATTTATATCGGGGCAGAGGGAAGATGCAGCTTGTGAACAAATGTTGGGAGAGTTTAAATGGGTGCAATTTTAAATGAGACTCCTTGTAATGTTAACAGAACATAAGACTTGTATCTGTTAAAAGCAAATTTAAAAATGAAGCCCCTTTCCTGCCCTTCAACTTAAAATCTTACGATTATCTTAAACCCAAAATGTGGCTTCATTGTTCATTTCCTTTTTACCAGAATGTAAAATAACAAGAGCTCGAGGCTTTAGGGTATTTCAAAAAGTAATCCTTTTTCATTATAACTTCTGGTAGTGTTTTAATTAAAGGTATTAGAAGAACTGTCATGTGTGACACAGTTTAAAATGCATGTACAGTGTGCTAGGAAGGGGATTATGTGCATAACTTGTTCACTTGCAGTGAAGTAGGCTAGATTGTTATTTTTCGCTGTTTGTCACCTGCAATTTGATCCTATATTTTTACAGGGCAAAAAGAGAGAATGCTTTCGTGGATGTTCTTTGCTGTTCCTCGTAGCAAATTCAAGCTGTTTCAGGAATGTTTGCTTCATACTGAAAGAAATGAACCTCATTAAAGAAAGCTACATAGGATTTTGATCCACAATTAAAGAAAAGAGACAGGATATTGATTTGGTTTTGTGAGAGGTTTTTATTTCTTACTGGTTTTGCCCCAACGCCCTTTCCCACCTCCCTCCAAAGTGTGCCATCACAGCATGTTTCGGCCAGTATATCTATAGTGAAATTTTCACTATAGCCTTTTTCAGAGAAGGGCACACAGATTAACTCTGACAAGTGGTGCTGAGCTGAAGAAATTGTGTGGTTTTATCTGGCTGGCTTTGAGGCTCACTGCACTGCCAGAGTGGCAAGATGCAACCCTTCTGCAAACTTCACGGCTGGAAGAGGGTGATCCAACAGAATCCTTTGTGGGCTCAGGGTGATCTGGTGATCGAGGTTTTATGCCGCTTTTTTTCCTTCTGTGTTTTTCTTGCGGAGTTTGCGCAGTGTTGCTGCCCAGTAAAACAAGATGTAAAGTAAAGTATGACAACGATGACTGGCCATACAGAGAAATGCAAGAAAATTACATCGATTCCTGTCCAGAGTCGATGGTTTGGGATTTTAACCTCTGATGTTTTGAAGTAGAAAGGGATGGAGGAAAGGATTAGGGGGGTTATGCCCAATCATTGTAATGTACCACTCTTTTATTTGAATAAAATTAAAAAAAAAAAAAAAAAAAGTCAAGTGTATGCTTTTCAGGAGATATTTTGGAAGTTGAAGGGTGTTTCTGCCTGGTCCTTGACCCCAGCACAAGTCAGGAGTGTTGCTGATTTACCAGCTGCCGATGCAACTGCCCTGGGTTTGAATTGAAAGATCTTGTTGATTGACGTTTAGACAAAATGTTAACTTATTTACATACCACGTAGTCCTGGAGGACTTGTTTAGATCACCAGAGGCCTTGAAAAGCTGAAGTCTTTGACCGTTATGTGGAATTTGAGCAATTTTTCTGTTTATTGTGCTATTCTCTTTCTCCAGGAGATCAGGTTCATTTGTGAGGTGTCTTTGAGGTGGTTTTACTTTCATATTCGACTCTAAAAAAAAAAAAAAAAACACACAAAAAACAGAGGTTGAACACGTGTCTAAATTCAGCTGAATTTACTGGGATCTAAGCACATAGACCTGATTCATTTGGTGAACCAAGGTTATAGTTTGGAGAGGTAAACGTGTCGCTGAAATAATAGCATGTACTGGCTTCTCTACATGGGCAAGAGCAGAAGTAGTGCTGTGTTGCTCATTTTGTGTTCTTTTTCAACAGCTAGTAAACAATGCCAGTGAACTTTCTTTCTTTTTATTTTTTTTTCCCCCAAGTTGTTTAGCTGACAGTGGGCTGATTGACCAGCCATTCTGGGAAAAATTTGTTCAGGTGCCTTTTTTTTCCCCCTTTGTTTCTTTCCTTTTTTTAAGTCCTCAGGATCTCACCAAATTACAAGGTGTGTACAGTGCCTGTGGCCTAATTCCTTTGACCCAAACAAGAAACATCCATTCAGGAATCTGGGTGTTCCTCAGCATGCTTTCCCCAGATGAATAGATCTTAAATTGAGTTAGCAATTATACAATAAATCTAAATGTATATTGCTATGAACATATGAAAGGGAGCACAAAATAAATACATACTTTCCTATTGTACAAGCATTGATATATTCATACAAAATGGGGCTCTAATGTTTCATCATAAAAGGGAAATAAAATTTTCTCATTTCTTGTTTCTCATTTCTTATTTCACAAAAGCAAAGTATTTGTCTTGCAGTTATTTGAGGGTTTGTAGAGTCCATCATGAGAAATCTGTGCCCATTAATTCACATTGTTAATGAATGCCACCTGTTCATTTAGGATTTTTGTGTATATGAAATTGTGGGTATGATTTTTATGTTTTATTTTTTTAATTGCCCATGACGCTATTTACCTAAGTGTAGATGTCCCACGGAGGTCGTGCAATACCAGCATTACAGCAGGAAGGCCTAGGTGAACGTTAGGGTATACGTCAGGTGTCCCAACTGATGGCAGTATTAAATAGCTACAGAGAACAGAACGTAAATAACAGTTACTTAAAAAGTTATAAAAATTAAATATTTTCAAACTACTTTTATTTGTTGAGATGATACAGGATGCTACAGCTGTGGGGATTTGAAGTGCTGCAGTGTGTGAGCTAAGACATTGCTGCCGTGTGTGGTTGTGTCCTGCTGCACCCGCACCCACCCAAGCACAGGCTAGGTAAGGAACTCGTCCTCCAAGTGCCCTCAGTTTCACGGTCTCACTTCCCCACAGGACAGACCCTGCGTACATACACAGACACACGCACGCCGTTTTTCTTGAACGTCTGAGAGGATGAGCCTGGATCCCTGCAACTTCTGACTAGGCGGCCCTTGCACTCTGCCTGTTACCCGCAGCTGGGCTCCCACCGAGAGCAGCCTGCACAGCGCTTGCCGTCCTGGCCTGAAGTGAATGAAGCTCATGGCTTCACGGAAGATTTTGGAGCAGCCCAGAGGGCAGTGTGGGAACCTGTTTAAATCCCAGATCGCTGGAGGAAACGGCGCCCCTAGGTGTCAAGTGGCCCCATAGCAAATCCAAATGCACGTTCTTGTGGATGAGATGGAAATGAAGCCTCTTCCCTTGGAAAACAGAAGGAAAGGGTCACAATGTAGTGGCAGCATGCAAGGCAGCTCAGGGCGGGTGCTTCAGGGAGCAGGGGAGTGCTCTGGGGTCTGTTCCCCTCCCTCCTCCAGAACTGCGCTTGGGGAGGCAGGGAGCTCTTGCCTTCTTCTGAAAACAAGTGGCAGAGAATAGCTGTCACTGAGATTATTTATTCCCTTTATTTCTTTGGCAAAACCAAGGGAAGCCTCTGACACTTCACACCTGGCGAATGCTTGCCCACTTTTTACTGCCTCGTGGGCTTTTTTCCGCTGTGTCGGGCAAAGCGAACAAGTGTAATATTGAGGCAGGGACGGAGAAGAAAATGAAAAACGGAGAGCGAGTTATGCAGTGCGAGCCTTTAAAGCTGAGGGAAAAGCTGTTTAAAATTGCTGAGTCCGAAGCAAACATCGCCTGGGTCAGCTTTCCAGCGTGACAGCGATAAACACGTGACCGATAACTCAACCCGACAGAAGGGGTGTTCAAGCATACAAATACCGGGAACGCTGCGTGCTGCTTCTGCACCCAAAATGCAATACGTAAGCCTGGACTTCCCCGGCAGCACGCCTCCCGTCTCTCCCATCCGCTCGTTTGACGAGCAGGATGCCCTGTGAAAGCGCAGCCTTTCTGAGCCCATTAGAGAAGAGAGGCTCTGTCTCCGCGCTCCTTTTCGCAGCCCGCACGCTCTGTGAGCCGCACTGTGCGCGGGGGGGCTGCGAAGGGATGCGCTGGAACCGACCGTCTCACAGGCAGCCTTGTTGCGGATGAACCCTCGCTGGCAGAAAAGATTAGCTGCAACCCAGAGAGGAAAACAAAAAGTCATATTTGAAGGAAGATTGTGGTGCAAAATTCTGATTATTTATCGGGCAAGAAGATAGTCGGGGCTTTGTGTTATCGGAGATTCTGTGCCCTAGGAAGCTGGCAGCGAATTCAGCCCGGTGCTGCCAAACTGTACTTCAGAATCTGAGGTTTCATATGAAAAAGGAGAAAAAAAGCAAAACAAACAGAAAACCCTCTATACCCTGCAGCTGCAGAGAAAATACTCCGAAACTCACTGAGACCAGAGCTGTGTTCTTGTCTTGAGTCAGCAATCAGCTTGAAGCAATACCTTTGAGAAGAGCGAACTGTGCTGGTCATTTCAATGCATGCGAGCTATGAAGTCTGACGTGTTTCACAGCAGCTAGCCCGTTTCTGTGCTTTTTTGCAAAAAGCTCGCTGTAGTGTGTGCCGTGTAAGAACGTATGTTCTTGGGAGAGACGAAGGGAAACTAGAAGGAAGGTTTGTTATTATTCATGTAAATTTGGATTAATGCTCAACTTCCTTCTCTTCTTCCCCCCTTCCAAAAAAAAAAAAAAAAAAAAGCAAACAACTTTTCAAATTGTGGAGAAACAGAGAAACAAGGGATATTTTCTTTGCCCACCGGAAAAAGCTTTAGTCATATCCGGACTCTTGAAAAAATCAAAACAAAACCCCCTTCTTCCCACTACCTCCTACATTCTCCTTAGTGCCATATGCCCCAGCTCACAATTACCCGGCTTTTAATGCATTCCACTTCTGCTCTGACAACTATACAATGTACAACAGTTGCACAGAGTCAGAAGGCAAATCTGTGAAGCACAAAGAATCAAGAATTTGGTGATAGTTTGAAGCAAATGTAGAGAACATGGAAGTAAATAACAGAAGTGAAACTGGATGCGGATGGTATTTTTTAATTTCTCTTTGTCTGTCTAAACCTCCTGTCTAGAGTTTACTCCCATAGTACTGTGAATTTCCCTTTTGGCATCCGTTCCACGGAATTTACATTTAGTAGGCTGCGAAATACAGGGGATCTTGTACCTAGTGCTCGTAATCACCCTGAGGAACCTGTTAATCAGTGCAACAATTGTGTGGTTATATGGCTCGCATCGTGTTTGAGCATTGGAGCTCGACGCTAGAAAAGCCCTGTAATTGCTAATAATTAGCACTAGGTAAGCCTCACAAGGTTTACTTAAGAGTCCCCTCATGTCAGATTCATATCCACAGCCTATCTGAAGTATCCGAGCCGTTTAAGGATCTGGGAGGTAATATTTTGTCATTGTGTAAGGCAGAAGACCTGCGTATGAAAGGGCAAGGGGACTGTGAAATAATTACTGGCTCTGCATTTAATTTGAGTCAATGAAAATGCCAGAATGATTGAAGTGTTTATGCTGAAGATCAAGGAGTTAGATTGGAATAGGGTAATCAAAACCAGGGACATCTTTCTTAAGTTTTTAAATATTTCTTAGGGAGGAGATAATGGAGGACGCTGAGAGCATGGCAAGGGACTGTTGGGAGGAAAATCAGGACCAGAGGTCGCACCTGTGTGAAGTGATGGCTTGAAAATGACAAGTAAAAATAGAAGTATGCTTCACTTGACGGTGATGAATGGGTTCCTTGACCTGAGGAGGAAGACCAGAGGTGGCTTTGCGCTGTGGAGATGATTTAATAATGGCAGTTACAGGTGAAAAAGTTTCCTGTTAAAAATACAGTGGGAGAAAATGTCTGGTCTTAACTACGTGTGGGCACTCCTGCCCCAGGCCCCGGGTGCCCAGGCAGCTCTGCTTGGCTGCAGCAGCTGTGACGCGTTCAGTTTGCCACTTTTCCATGCTTTGGACATGATTCTCCCATCCATGTCTTTCCCAGCTGTTCCCCATGAAGATTTTACTTGGTGTTTATCTGTACTTCGCCCATCTCCACCAGCAGAGTATTGCATGCTGCCCCTTCCCTCTGGCATCACCAAACCATTCAAGCACCCTCCTAAAGTTGCTCTGCTGAAGTTCAAGGCTCACAGAGCCAGCATTGCTGTATCTGGGACCGTACATACGGTTTACACAACGTGGGAGGTGGGATCAGGCATATCTTCCTTACACATCTCTCATATCCCAGGGGCAAGGAAACGTTTGCCAGTGTCCTATAACTTTGCTTCTCTGCAAGCAATAAATGCCTGGAGTCTGTCGGCGTTTTGCATAGTAAGACAAAAAGCGTGCTGTGTGCTGCTGGCTGCCTCTGTTCAAACATGAAGCTTGGATTTTGAGGTTAGTGGAGGTCTGTTTGCTTAAAAGAGATTCTGATCAAGACGAATTATGAAAATGTCAATAAATACCACAGTTTAAAAGGTAATAAACTGACTATTAATGTCGAAGGCAGAGCTCCAGGCAAACGTTAGCAGCAGCCTGAACCACCTACCTCTACGTACCTTCTTCCTCCACAGCACGGGCAGGAGGAGCTGAAGCAGCCCTGGACCTCAGAGAGGGATTCTCAAAAAACGTCACCAGTGCTTCACAGACACCGTGCCCGTGGTTTTGTTACTTTCCAGGGGGTTCAGTCACGCTTTTCCATGCAAGTCCCTCACACGCGTGTGACATCAATCCATTTCTCAGCTAAAAATACCCGGTACTTAGCAGTTTAGTATGGAGCAATTAATCACATGTTTGGGCACCACGATGCCGAGTGTTATTTTGTTTTGAAATACTGTGTGTGGAAAATTGGAAAAAATAAATAGGCAAATGCCACGCTTAGCATATTTCTCTTCTGGTGCAGTCCTTTTAAAAGCGCATCAAAGATTTCTCCTCCAGACAGGAGTCAAAAAAATAATAATCTTTTCATGCGCCAGGTCAGGGTTTAATGGCTTGCCCACCCAGTCAGGAGGTACCTGGTACTTGCCAAGTTCAGTCTGCGCGCTCTCACAACACCAGCTGAGAGATTATCAACTCAAATGACCCATTTGGGGAGCACTCCTCTCTGTAGGGCTCGCCCTCCCCCTTTGCTGGACTTGAAGTCTGATTAGTGTTTAGACATCGCTTTGAGATAATGATAATGTGCCTTTTAATTAGCATCAATATTTCTAATCTTTGGGGGAATAATAATGTGCTTCTTTTTTAGCCCTTGACTGTTGACAGATGGCCACTTATTAAACATCATTAAATTCTGACATCAATCATTTTTGTGCTTTTTAAAATATGCTCATCGTTTAAATCCAATGATATGTACGGGAGGATGGCTTTTCAGGCCAGGGTGTTTAGACTTCGATGCAGAGCTGAAACAGCGTTTGGTGAAGGGAGGCCTGGTTTCTTAAGATGCTGTAAGGAGAATCACAGGGGCATTGCTAACGTGTAGCTTCAGTCTGCGTGCGTTGTGTTAAAAGGGGCTCTTGTATGGAAGCAGCCTGAATGCTTTTGAGACAAAGCCACTATTTAAACATTTAGAAACTTGAACTTCTGAAAAGCCTGTGCTCATCTGCAGAAAGCATTCCATGCGTTTACAGGGGAATTCATGTTGTGTGTGTCTCTCTGAATGCAGTGAAAAAGTGAGGATGAATTCCTGTATGTTTTTTGCAGCAATGCTTTATTGACTTGATGCATTCTTGGCTAGAACCTCTGATTTGTTATTTGTGAAACTTTGTTTAATGAGTACAATTACGATCTGCATTGTGTCCTTGCTCATCTTAATAGCAGTATTAATTTGCAGGAAGGGACAAAAATTATCTTGTGGAGTTATCAAGCAGTGTTTAGGCTTTCTGAATGCTAATTAATTCAGAGCTCAAATGCTGTACCTGCTGTTTAAAAGGCTGGCAGCTTGCATCCATCACCTGAGTGACAGCTGTTCTACCTTTTTTCTTTTTTTCTTTTTTTTTTTTTTTACCTTTCAAAAGAGTGGGAAAGGTTAACTCCTTGCACACCGATGACTGCCAAATTGAAGTAACAATTGGTTTGTTCAGAATTTTAATTTGCAAGGTTTTGTCTTTAACAGATATGCTGATTTTCACAGGCTCTCTGAGAAAGGATTGGTGGTAGTAGGTTATTAAGAGAGATTGCTAAAAATATCTCCAATGTACTGTTATTTTGTCTGGACAGAAAAAAAAGTTTCTCTGACAGTTAATGTCAGAACCAGATCCTCCATGCAAGCCAGAAGAGAAAGAATTAAAATATTGCTAAGTCAGGTTTGAACATTTATATTAAGCGAGGAATCTGAAGAATTTTCTCTTGGACTCAAATCCTTCATATATATATATATATATATATATATATATATATATATATATATATATATATATATAAAATACTGTCAAGGGTCAAGGAGAACATTAGTTGTAATTCAATTAAATGTTCACTTAAGCCAGTTAAATATCAAACAAAATAGTAAAGAGCGGTTTTACATGATATACGCTGCATTCAACGATTGTTGAGTTATGATTTGTTAAGCTAAACTCCACTGCACTAGGCAGAAATGGTAGTCTTTGGTAGTGAGAGGGGCTTTGAAGGTGTGCAGGTAATTTAATTTAATCTGAGAAAGAGTGTCTTCTGGTGGAAGGCGTACATTCGTATGCAGATTTGAGAGGATTACGCAGTTGCCTGAGTGATGGATGAAGCAAGGCCCTAATACTGGATTACATTCCTTCTCTTTCACAGAGGCACAGATAACGAAGTATGCACGATAAGTCGCCCCTCCGTTCCCTCTTGCCCACCGATGGAAAGTTTAATTGCATTGTTAAATACTTTTTCTTTTTGGGGAAACATGAGGCAAATCAACACTTATGTCATGTCAAAGGGCATCGCTTAACTAACGATACCAAATAGAGAGCCACAAAGGCTTTCTGTTGGTATTTTAGGGAAAATGCAAGCATCTATGCTGCTGATTTGCTATGTGAATATTTCAGCTGTAGGGTAGACATGTCATAATAATACATTTTTCCTTCTTGTTTTGGAGGCCCTGTAGTTTTAGGGAAGTGTGGGGTGGACGTGCTAATGCCTTGGGGCTTTGATTCTGCTCACATTGCTTTTACGCATTGTGATTCAGTAAATCTCATTAAGCACACGTTTAGCTTCCAGTATTCACTGCAACTTCTGTTGGCTTCAATAGCAAATTAAGCACAAGCTTAAACGTTGTTTGGAGCCTTAGGGAAAAGTGATTAACCTAAAGAACAAAGGTATGCTATTATGATATTTTAACTCATTAAAATCCAGTAGATTTGCTGATACTGATTTGCTAAATACTCTATATTGAAAGTAAAGCAATTACCTTCTTGGCTGCAATGCCAACGTGAGTGTATTAGCTAGGTATGTCTGCTGTGACAGTACCTTGTTTTTCACTTCTGACCTACTGTTCTGTTCTTGTAAGCAATTAGTGGTTATAATTCACGATTGAGAATGCAAACTCATTACAAAAATACAAAGTTTTACAAGCTTGTTTACAAAGTGTTCTTGAAAATGGAAATCATTTTTGAGAAATTGTTGTCTTGTTGCGGGTTGCTCAAACATCTTCCGTTATTACTCATCAACTTCAGAAGACGTTTCTGGTCTCCATGCACAGGGATGCTTTTTGAAATGCAGTTTCATAAAGCAAG